CTTAGCAACGTTCAATGTTGTCAGTCTTTTTTATTTTAGCCATTCTAGTGGGTGTGGAATGGTTCCTCACTGTGGTTTTATTTTGCATATCCCGATGACTAAAGACTTTCAGTGGGCTTATTGGACATTTGTATATCTTCTTCCATGAGGTGTTTGTTTAGTCTTTTACCCATTTTGTATCAGGTTATACCTATTGTTGACTTATAGGAGCTCTTTTTATAGTCAAGATACGAGTCCTTTGTCAGATATATGTGCAGTGAATGTTTTTCTCCAAACTGTAGCTTGTCTATTCATTCATTTAATAGTGTCTTTGATGAGCAGAAATTTTAAATTTTTATGAAGCCCAATTTGGCTATTTTATTTTATTTTTTCATTTTACAAAAGGTAGAATCTCTTTGAACTCAGTAAACTACCTTACACTTCATAGGGCTAACGCTATAACACCACCACCAAAAGCCAACAAGGGCACCTGTGGGTTCTGCCTCTGCTAATTTGGAAATTTTTAAAAATGCTTTGTGCTTGGGTCCTGTCCAAGAAATCTTTCCCTACCCCCATGGTGAAGATATTCTCCTAAGTTTTCTTGTAGAAGCTCTACGTTCTGGGCTTTAGATTTTTTTCTGTGATCGATCTCAAGTTTATGTTTGTGTACAAAGCAAGAGGGAGTCAGGGTTCATTTTCGCCTGTATGCATATTCAGTTTTCCAGTCCATTTGAAAAAGACTTTCCTTTCCCCATTGAACTGACTTGGTGTCTTGGTCAAAAATTGATTTGTCATCTTTGTGTGGGTCTATTTCTGGACTCTGCACTCTGTTCCTTTGATATATCTGTCTATCCTTATGCCAACCACACTATTAATTACTGTAGCTTTATAGTAAAAAAATCAAAATCTTGAAATCAAATAGTCTAAGAATTTTGTTCTTTTTCAAAATTGATTTGCTTATTCAAGATTCTTTGTACTTCTGTATAAATTATAGGATTAGCTTGTCAATTTCTTCAAGAAAGCCTGCTGGAATTTTGATAGGGATTGCATTCATCTATAAATCAATGGTCATCTTAACAATACTGAGTCTTCTGATCCATGAACATGGTATATTTCTCCATTTATTTATTTCTCAGAACAATGCTTTTGTCATTTTAAGTGTAGCAGTGTTGCACATCTTTTGATGGATTTATTTCCAGGTATTTGATTTTTTTGAAGCCATTGTAAATTGCATTTTTTAATTTCATTTTCCAATTGTTCATTGTTTGACTTATATTTTATTTGTTTGCTTGTTTATTTATTTATTTATTTATGGTGAGGAAGATCGGCCCTGAGCTAACACCTGTTGCCAATCCTCCTCTTTTTGCTGAGGAAGATTGGCCCTGGGCTAACATCCACGCCCGTCTTCCCCAGTTTGCATGTGGTCACCGCCTCAGTATGGCTTGATGAGTGGTGTAGGTCCACATCCTGGATCTGGACTCATGAACCCTGGGCCACTGGAGGGGAGTGTGTGAACTTAACCACTATGCCACTGGGCTGGCCCCTGGACTATATTTTCATAGAATTACTCGGGCTCCTGCACTAAGAATAAATTATCAGGAGTGGAGGGCAAAAGCACACGTAGGAAGACCAGTGAGGAGGCTGCTGTGATCATCTAGGGGAGCGATGAGGTGGCTTGGGAAAGGGTGGCAGCAGCAGTCGTGTTGAGAAGAGATGAAATTGAAGGTAGAGCCAATAAGATTTTCCGATGGATTGGATGTCAGTTGCCAAAGACAGAGGAAAGTCAGGGTGACCCCAAGGTTTTAGCCTAACCATCTGGAAAGGTGGAGTTGCCATTAGCTGAGGTGGGAAAAATTGTGTGGAATAGTTTGGGTGGAGGGGAGAGATCAGGGGCTCAGTTTAGGACATGGTAAGTTTGAGATGCTTATTAGAAAACCAGCGGAGATGTGGAATCATCAGTTGTACATCTGAGACTAGAGTTTGGGGGCGAGGTCTGGGCTGGGACATACATGTGGGCGTCGTCAGCTTACGGACTGATGAACTCACTGAGGGAGGGGGTGTAGATAGAGGAGACAAGAAGCCCAAAGCCTGAGGCCTGGGCAGCCCAGCTTTAGGGGGTCAAGGAGATGAGGGGGACTCAGCAAAGGGCAGAGAAGAGGCAGCCAGGGGGTGCGAGGAAAGCCAGGAGAGAGTGGGGGCTGGAAGCTGAGGGAGGAAGGGGTTTCAGGAGGAGGGAGTGGTCACCCACGTCCGATAGTGGTGACGGGGCGAGTCAATGACTCCTGAGAATGGACTTAGCCAGGTGGAGTCCCAGTGATTTCGACAGAAACGTTCTTGTTGGCATGGTGGGCCATAACCTGACTGGAGGGGTTTCGAGAGCAAATGGGAGGAGTTGGGGTCAGCCCGGAGACAGTTCTTTCAAGTGGGTTTTCCTGTATAGACGGTAAAAGGAGTTCTTGGAAGTTACTGGAATAACTCGATCCATAGAGTTTACAGCACATGTTCTCAACAGTGGGCCTGCCGTCAGCTCCTGTACTGAGGACCCACAGGACCCGCTAGTGAGGTGCTTGCCCAGGAGAGGGGAGCAGGGGAGCGCAGCCTCTGTCCTGACCTGCTGGGAACTCAGCCTGCCCCGGGGGTGCTGACTTCCTTGTTTCAGAAGCCACCTGCTAATTATAGACAATCCTCTGGTTCCACCACAGCAAGAGCTCAAAGTTCACTTCAGTATCACCCTCTTAGTAGATCCGTCTCTTCAGGAGCTTGATGAAGACTTTCCATGAGCCCAGCGGTGCCTGGGGCCCATCCAGTTTGGGCATCCTGTGGGTCTGTCTACCGTGTTGGTGATCACAGCCACAGTTGGTAATGGGGAGAATCACAATCTAGCTGTCCTGCTGTAACACACATTCCCATGGCGTGATTCCAGTTCATTCTGGAAGCAGAAGGAGTGACATCGTATGCCATGGAAGGTGGCTTGTTTATGAGCGAGGTTTCCTAGGCAAGAGGAGCGCGATTGGGTAAACAGAATTAGGAGGAAGGGGAAAAGGCCCCAACTTGTCTGCTGTCAGCATTCTGAGAACATTTTAAAAGAGCTCCTGCGCCCAGGCCTCCCCAGGGAGAGTGCTCCCAGCCATCCTGGGGCTCTCAGCTGGGGGCAGGTGTCCCCGCCTCCCGTGCCCACCTGCATGACAGCCCCACTTCCCCCTGCATTGTCTCAGCACGCCAGTGCTGCAGTAATTAAGGCATAGCTGGCATATCCATTCTGTCGGTTTCGTACATTTAAAATACTTCCTGTGGTCCTGTGGCCCTTGGCGTGGCTCGAGTTCGTCTCTCCAGGTACCATTCGCTGTCTTTATTAGTGCTCTGGTTACAGAGTCGCCTGGGTGTTGAGGGTCTGCCCCAACCCCGCATCTCCTATCAGCCCTGTTGTTGATACTGGGTGATTCTGCAGGATGTGGGGATCCTCAAGAACTCACAGTTTGTGTTCAGGCAGAAATCTTGGACGTCTCTTCCGTGGGAAGTAGGGCCGGAGGGGTGAGGCTAGGGCGCCCAGGAGGCCTCCCTGGGAAGTCCCGCAAGTGCAGGTCACGAAGGCTCTCTTCCTCACTTCCAGGATCCAGCAGAAAAGGGCCCCCATCGGCAGAAACTCGGCCTCACTCACACACACACACACACACACACACTCACAAGCAGCCACAGCTCAGGGGTTTAGGGCGTGGCTGGTCCTGAGGCAGCCACTGTCAAGCTCCCTTGCAGATCAGCAGTCACCAAGGTTTCAGAAACAAGTGTGGGAGAAAAACTTAAAGTTCAGAACTTTTCTAATTTACTGTTTTTTCCTGCACACTGGGAGGAGATTCCCAGCATTCCTTTTCTGGGCAAGGCCCTGCCCCGAGGACAGAGCGCCCGCAGCTCAGTGGGGCCCCGGCGGCAGGAGCGGCTGAGGGTTCCCCAGCAGGGGCGGCCGAGGGAGAGGCTGTGCCGACAGAGCAGGCTGAGGAGAGGTGGAAGGGTGCCCAGAGGGGTGGTGGCAGTGGGATGGAAGACGCTCCTCTTTGCTCCCTGTGCAGCCTGAACCCAAGCACAGAGAGTGCAGCCCGAATGATTTAGGTCTGTTAACCCAACCATGCGGAGTGACCCGGGGAACACTGATGGGAGCTCAGGAGTACGTGCCAGGTGACCACTTGGGCCCCCAGAATCAAACCTTCAGGTTCACAGGACTGGACCTTAGAGTGCATCTGGCCAAGCCTTTCCTGTTACAGATGGGGAAACTGAGGCCCAGAGAGGGGCAGCAACTTGTCCAACGTAATAGAGAAAATTGGAGGCGGCACCAGAACTACTAGAATGCAGCTCTTCTGAGCCTGAGCCCTGGCCTCCTGGTCACCCAAGTGGTCAGCCGCCTCCTTCTTGTCTGTCGGGGGAACCCGCCACCCCCTAGCTAAGGCGTCAACAGTTCTGAGTGCTTTTGCTGGGCCAGGCGCTGCCCACAGTGCCGGGGACACAGAGACGGGTCAGACTTGGTTCATGCCCACAGAGGCTCGCTGCCTGTACAAAGGGGCTATGACCAGGGGCCCGGCAAGAAATTCTGTCCTGTGGCTGGAGGAATGAACAATGAATGAACAAATGTGTACACGTTCCAGAAGCAAAATGAGAGAGCAATGGATTCTGCCTGGGAAAGTCAGGCAGGCCTCCCAGCAGAGGGAGCAGGGAAGCCCGTATTTGGAGATTAGTAGGAAATTCCAGGCAGAAGAAATAGTATAATCAAAGAACAGACAGAGACTAAGAACAAGAAGACGTTGACACTTTTATCGAGGGTGTGTTTTGAGCACTAAATGTTTTGCGTGTTTAACCATTTAATCCTCCCCCCAACCAGGTGCTCTTATTATGCCCATTTCTCTGACAATTGGGCAGGTGCCTGGTGTGTTAGGAACGCGGTGAGCAATGTATCTGAGTGGGCAGTGCAAGGGCTGCTGGGGCCTGGGAAGGATAGGGCTGCCCTGATCACTCCCATCCTGTACTCCACACAGGCACAGACATTCCATGGGGACCTGCTGCAGCACATGGAGAAGAACACCAAGCTAGACATGCAGTTCATCAAAGTGAGTCTGGCCGCCCCGCCTCGGCCCCCCCGGCCATCACAGGCAGCACTGCCTCTCCCCATCTGACAGATGGACACACTGAGGCCTGCGCTGGGCATTGACTGGCCCCACGTTATCCACATTCCCAGCTGAGCACCCCCCGCACCGTCCAGTGCTCTGACCCAGGGGCTGAGCGCCTTGAGCTCTTTGATGTGGGTCTCCCTTCTCTCTCCACCCCACCCAAGGACAGCCGCCAGCACTACGAGATCGAGTACCGCCGCCGAGCCGCCAGCCTGGAGAGGCGCATGTCCGAGCTGTGGCGCATGGAGCGCAGGAGGGACAAGAACACGCGGGAGCTGAAGGTGTGAGGGCTGGGGCAAGACGGGCGCTGGGGGCCCTGACACCCTCCTGGGCCCTCCACCGGCACCGGCCTGACTCCAGGAGCGTGGCTCAGCCCACCGTCTGTGGCGAGCACAGCTGGAGAGGTCGGCCAGCCCTCAGGGACGCCCTCAGCGCCGCTCCTTGCGGGTCACTTCCTGGCCCTCCCCACCTTCCCCAGCCCGCCCCGCTTCTCCTGCTCCACTGGGAAAACCCAAGGCCGTCAGCATGCTTCTCCTGGTCAGGGTGGCAAAGGTGGAATCCACCAGCAGCCCAGCGTCCTCCCCTCCCCGCCGCCCCGGCAGTGGTACCCTGCCCCCGGCTAAGGCCAGCCCTCCTCCCACGCTCGGGGCCCCCATCCCTGGCCTCGGTCTCCAAGACCTCTGTCTGCTTCCCTGTCTCCTCTTCTGGCTCCTTTAATAAGCTCCTGTCTCTCCTCTTCAGAATCTTTTCTCCCAAGTAGCGGGTATGAAGCAGCTCATTCACATTTTCATTAAACCAGCCTCCCCGGGCCCCACCTCTGTTCTCAGCCCTGTGCTCGGACACCAGTCCTGCCCGTGAGAAGTGCCCGGGCCAGGGAGGATGCACAGCCCATCAGGAGGCTGAGGATGCCCGTGGGAGGGCAGGCCTGGGAGCTAGGATGGGCTGGGTGCTCAGGGCAGGCCTCCAGGAGGAGGCGGCTGGGTGGAGAAGGACAGGGAGGCTTCCGACAAGTGGCACATGTTGGGGATGGGATGAGGCACCTGCCCCCTGCCTCCCGCCAGAATCCCCCATCCCCCCAGGAGAGCGTGAACCGGCTGCACACGCAGATGCAGGCTTTCGTGTCCGAGAGCCAGCGGGCCGCTGAGCTGGAAGAGAAGCGGCGCTACCGGTTCCTGGCCGAGAAGCACCTGCTGCTCTCCAACACCTTCCTGCAGTTTTTCGGCCGGGTGAGCTGGGGCTGGGGGCACAGCGAATGGAGCCCTCCTGGGGGCTGCGCTCTCTGTGAGCTGGCTGCATGGGAATTTCCCTCCCTCCCTCCCTTTTCCCTCTTTCCTTCCTCTCTGTAGATGTTCATTTTATTTATTTACTCTCTCCATCTATTTCTTTGTTTATCTATTTCTGTGTTTATTTGTATCACCAGATATTCATTCATGATTCTGTTTATTCTCACATTCATTTACTAATTCACGCATTTACTCATTCACGTATGAACCATTTATTTTTTCACGCCTGCCTGCATATACTCACCATTCACAAATTCATTAACTCTTAGGTTTACTCAGTTATTGTCTATTGATTTTATCATATTATTTTAAATCCTCTATGCTCTTGCTTTGTTCTATCTGCTAGATCAATCAGATTCTTTCATTTCTCATTGGATTTCTAAAGGATTTTGCTTTCTGTGTTTAGCTGCCGTGTTATTTGGTGCTGTTGGGTTTATGACCATTATACCTTCTTTGTAAATATTGCCATTTATGTACTTAATGTCTCTCATACTCTAGTCTAATGCTTTTAATTCCACTTTGAGATTAATATTGCTCTCCCTACTTTCTCTTCTCTCTTTGTTTTAAGTGTGTTTTCTGTTACTAAGGTGTGGCTCAGTTTTTATTTTTCGCCAGTCTGACAGGCTATGTCTTCTAACAGAGGAATTCAGTCCATTCCCATTTAACCTCACAACTGATACACCTGTTTTATTCTTTCTGGATAACTTGAGTTAACTGTATTTACTTTGTCATTTGCTCTTTTTCTCCCATTCTTGTTCTTGTCAGTTTGCTTGAGTTACTGTACATTCTCCTTTCTCCTTTCTCCTTTCTTAATTTGGAAATTCTACAGTTCTTTTCCTCTTTACTCATGGTGACCTCATTTTGTGACCCTCATAATCACATATATTCTTCTATTATCTTTTCCAAAAAATACTGGCACCCCCCACACTACTCAGTCCATTGCTCCCGCACCCCGTAAGATGAGACCTTGAGAAGGATTTTCCTGCCCTCCTTTGTACTCTAAGATGAGACCTTTGGAAAGTTTTTACTCCTCCCCTCATTCTCCCTGACGCTTACCTCTTGGTTTTGTCAAGAAACTTCAGGACTTTTAATTCAGGACCCTCACTAGTCATTTCTTTGCAGCATGACCCATCTATTTCAAGCCCCTTTACTTAGATTACGCATAGTGCCATTGCCCAGGGCACTGTCATCCTCCACTAGTATTTCACCACACACGCGCTCAGAAACCCTGCTCACCATGCTTTCAGTCCTTCTCCTGTCCCACTGTCTGGAGGTTTCTGTTTGATTAACTGGCGTGGCTAGAGAACTGTCATGGGTATCTTCAGCAGATACGCTGTCCGAATCCTTGCATATCTGTAGATGTCTCCCTTTTACCCTGACTGCTGACGGACACATCGGCTGGCTGAAGGACTGGAGCTGCAGGCTTTTTCTCTCCTGGTCCAAGATGATATCCCCGGTTTTCTCGTGCTCTGTGTTGTGGACGCTAAGTCGGGTGCTGGTCTGTCTCCTTTCCCCTGAGTAACCAGCTCTCTCTCTTGGATGCTTGGAGATTTTCTTTGTGTGCTTGGGGCTCAGGAACTTGTCTGGGCACCGCCTGGACGGGTGTCTGCTGGTGCCCCTTCGGTCCGCAGGCTCAAGTCCTTCTTCAGGCCCGGGAGCTACTTCCTCTTCTGTTTGTTTATTATCTCTCCTTCATCATGCCTTTTTCTCCTTCTGGAACTCCAATCATCTGGGCCTCCACATCTATGCCCTTCTCCTTCACCACGTCTATTTCCTTTATTCTTGACCTGTCAGCCCACTGATTCTGTTCTCCACAGGACTGTCCTCTCTTTTCGTTCATCTATTCAACTTTAAATCTTAAACTTGCGCTTTGTTGGGGTGAGAGGGTCTGTGTTATACGCAGGTGCTCTTATCAAGTCCTTGTTAAGCTTGTCACCCCTTCTCTCAGCTGCCTGGGGTCTGTGGGTTCTCCTCCCTGACCACTGGGTCCTCATAGGTGCCTTGTTTCTGTCCTTTGCCTCCTCATGGTCCTGTTCCCACTCCAGGTTGAGTTGAACTGCATGTGCTTAGGTGGTGGTGCTGGCAAATGTGGGGAGATAGTGGACTGGAGCAATCTCTACTGCAGTGGGGCCTTACTCTGCCCCAGGTCTTCCTGTTGCAAACATCAGCTCTCGCTCAGCCTCAGAGATAGGGATTCATTTAGCCTATGCATGTGGAGAAACCACTGCAGACAGGGCTGCTAGGAAAGGTTGTGCAGGTTGTGCACTGCACAAGGATGCTCAGTTGAGAGTAGGGGCTGTGCTCTGCTCTCCAGGCTGAACACACTGGTGCAGGCTGTGTTTGCCTGGCAAAAGGAGCATCTTTTTCTTTGCATAAAGAGGCCATTCTCTCACTAAATGTGTGCCCACCAGGCTCTATCCATCCAGAGGGGACATGGATCTCTAAATTATGAAGAGGTACCTTATGGGCTAACAGCAGCTCAAGACTATGGACCCCTGGAACTCAGGAAAGCCAGCAGCTCCTCCCAGGCCACAGTCAGGAGGGACACTCAATGATGCCCTACCCAATGTTTCTGTGGGCTGCACTGCTTGGGACTCAAGTCCCAGTCCCTGCCTGGCCTCTCAGCTGCAGGTCCTCTGGCCCCTGCCAGCCCACAGTGGTCAGTGTTCTGTCCTGCTCTCTTCTGTAAAGGGCCCTCCTGGCCCGTGGACTTGCCCATGCCTGGCCTGGCCTAGATGTTGACCCCTCTGGAGAGGGGCTGATGGGATCTGCAGGAGGGGCCGGCACACTGGGACACCATCTTCCCACAATTCCTTCAGAAATCGATGCCTTTGTCCCTGCATACTTCCAACGCCATTCGTTCACTCATTCATTTATTCAACAAATATTGTTTGAGCCCAGATGACACATCTGGGCTGGCTCTATTTTGTATCTGAGAGACAGCGGGTCCCTGACCCACCCCCAGCCAGCCCCTCTCCCCTGAGGCCACACACGGGCTCCTCCACGCCCGCCGCCAGTCTCATTGCTGTTTCCGTTACTTTCTATGTCTTTGTTTTCTTATTTAGTCTCTATTTCTATTCCTTTATATTCTTATTTACTTTCCTAACCACTGCGCCCTGGCTGCAGATTCCAGCAAACATTTCATTTCCCTGAGTCTCATTCTCTTATCTGGAAAAGGAGGGAACTAATCCCCGCCTCACAAGGTTGGTGCAGTGATGGAGCCTGGCAGATGACGCAGCCCGTGGAATTAGGTCCCCCTGCCCTGCAGGATGAAAACAGAAGCTACCACTCAGGAGGCGGGTCTGCTTGCAGTCAGCTGCCCCTGCAGCCAGACTCCTGCCTCCCGGCCCCCGGCCCCTCCCCCGCAGGCCCCTCCCTCTGTATCTGAAGCCAGGGACCCTCTGCTGCTGCTTCCTCTGTTAAGCAGTTTTTTTGAGATATAATTCACATACCGTGCAATTCCTATGTTACCGAAATTAGCCCTTTCTTGGTGACGAGTTGCCAATATTTTCCCAGTTTGTCATTTATCATCTGACTTTGCTTATAGTAGGTTTTGCCAAGTAAAAAAAAAACAATTATTATTTAGTCAAATTTATCAGTCTTTTCTTTTATAGTTTACGGGGTTTGTATCAAACTTAGAATGGCTTTTCCACTCCATAAATGTTTTAAAAATTCTCTCATGGTCTCCTCTATGGTTTTGAAACCCACTATAGTGTTTCTTCCCAACCACTGGCTACACCACCTGGAGGCAGGGCTGGGAAGCCAGTGAAATTGAGTGCTGTCCAGCCTGGGACTCAGTGCCATGGCCATTACTCTCACCGAAAGGTGCAGTCACAGGAAGCTTCCTCAAGACAGACTAGTACAGGCCACTCCCCTGCTTACTGGGTGCGAGATCTTGAGCCAGTCATTAACTCTCTGACCCTCAGCATCTTCTTCTATAAAATGGAGATAATAGTTGCACCTACCTCCCAGGGCCGAGAATCAAATAAGATAATGTAGGTAAAGCTTTTAACACTGGGTCTGAGCACAGAGTAAACGCTCAACTAAGGGAAGCTTTGATTACTCCTAAGATGACAGTCTTGAGCTAGGCCTCAGGGGAAGGGATGTTTCAGTAGAAAAGGAGAGACCTTTATACTGGAGAGCACAGGTTTTGATGGTACCTGGGATTTAATTCATAGAAGTGACTGAGTGACAACACAGACAGGTCACTGCCATTGAAAGAAGTTTTATTACATTTCACAGTTCTCAAGAGAAGGGGTCACTCCATGCCACGCAGGGCCACATGGGGAAGCAGCAGGGGTCAGTCAGGAGACAGAAGGAGCGAGGGGAAAGCATGGCCCAGAACCTTTATGATGGTTTCCACGGGAAGGGATGGGCAAAGCAGGGCAGGAAGTTTAGGCAAATCTAGGATTGGATGGTTTGAATAATTGCAGTAGGCTCTGGGCTGTAGGGGTGGCCTCCACTTGCCTGGTCCGTGGCTCTCGGGTGATTTAGGGCAGGGGAAATATTGGTTTGGTGTGTGAATTAGACAAAGGAGGTGGTTGGGGATATGTGTTTTGGATTGGCTGGTTTGCATTAGAAAGGTGTGCTCACAGGCACGTTGTTTACTATCTCTAAGAATTATCTAATCCTGGGAGGGGCAGTATGTCCAGGATTAGCAAGGTTCCAGGATGTCAAAGCATCATAAAATACAGAAAATTAAAACCATGACTAATACACACAGCAGTTCTAACATTTAAAGCCCTGCCTCCCCAACTTGTTATGGACTATGTGGTCAGCTGCTGAGTGTCCTGTCCTTCTGTCCACTAGATGTCCGTGTACTGGGGATACTAGAAAAGAGATGCTTATGTAGACTACAGGGATGAACTGGAAAAACTGTATTTGGAAGGTCTCTTTTAGACAACTACTCAAACTGGCTTAAACAGAAAAAGTATTTATTACTTTAGTTACTGGGAAGTTCGAGGGTTTCAGGTATAGCTGGATCCAGGGGCACACAAGATATCAGAAATTTGCCACTGTCTGTTGCTTAGTTGTAGTTTTCTGTGTTGGCTTCATCTACCTATTCAGCAAACCCCATGAGGAGAAAGAATCTATTTTCCCAGATTGTTCCAGGGTAAGTACTGAGATTGGGTTCTTTGGTCACAGTTTTTGGGTGAGTGCCATCCCTGTAGCCAGGAGGATGGAGCAACCTGAGTGGCCAGGTCCAGGTTCTATTCCTACACTTGTATCTGGCAGTGGGAGAGCCCCCAAAAGGCACAGACTGAGAGAGGAGGCAGGGGAAGCTCCTCAAGGAAAGGGGGGGCCTTTGACAAAAGAGGGGGAGGGTTGGACGGTGGGCGAACCCAAAGCGACTCCACAGCGATCTTCGGCTCCTTCCAGCTAGAAAATCCGGTCACCCTCAGCTTGCAGGGCCCGAGTTCCCAGGTCCAGGGTGCCACTTTTGAGTCCCCAGGATTCTGGGGACTGCTCAGATCGGGCTAACCCCTGTGTCCCCACCCCGCCAGGCCCGGGGGATGCTCCAGAACCACGTGCTGCTGTGGAAGGAGCAGTCGGAAGCCAGCCGCAGCCCGTCGCGCGCCCACTCCCCGGGCCTGCTGGGCCCCGTGCTGGGGCCGCCCTACCCCTCGGGCCGCCTGACGCCCACCCGCCTGGACATGGTGAGGCCCTGGGCGCCCCCGCCGCCGTTCGCGCCCCCGCCGCCATTCGCGCCCCCGCCGCCCCCGGCACCCTCCGCCCGGCCCTGGGGCCTGAGGCCCTCCGCCTGGAGCCTCCTGCCCCCCAGGGTCCCGTTCTACGCGGCGCCGCCCGGCCGGCCCTTCCACCCGGGCGCGTTCTCGGCGCCCCCATGGTGGCTCGGCCGCAGGCCCGCGAACCCCTACGCCGACGCCTGGGACTGGGGGTGGGGGCTGGACTAGGGCGCCGGGCCCCACCCCTCCCCGCCCCACCCTCCCCTGCCCGTCTCCCCTCGCAGCCCCCGAGGCCTCTGGGAGAGTTCGGCTCCCCCCGCAGCCGGCACGGCTCCGGCTCCTACGGCCCCGAGCCCACCGAGGGGAGGTCCGCGTCCCAGCTGGAGCCAGACCGCCGGTCCCTGCCCCGGACGCCGTCTGCCTGTGAGTGCCCCCGGTCCCCGGAGCGCAATGGGAGGACCGGGGACACAGGCCGGGGGCCCGGGGGCTGGGAAGAGGAACTGAGGTTGCGCTGCAGCAGGAGGGATCGAGGGTGGACGCGAGGGAGAACTTCCCACCCACATGCCGCCGCGCTCCCCCGCCCCCCCCAGCCTCGCTCTACGGCAACAGCGCCCAGCGCTCGCGCTCCAACTCGTTCGGCGAGCGCGCGGGCAGCGGGGGCGCCAGGAGAGTCCGCGCCCTCGTCTCCCACTCTGAGGGCGCCAACCACACGCTGCTGCGCTTCTCGGCCGGAGACGTCGTGGAGGTGCTGGTGCCGGAGGCCCAGAACGGCTGGCTCTATGGCAAGCTGGAGGGCTCGTCCACGTGAGTGCGCGCCTCGGGGCGCAGGGTGGCTTGGAAGGGGGGCCCGGAACGCCCGGGATCCGGCTCCGACTACGGCTGCTCCCGCCTCCCCCTGGGGCCTCCAACGACTCTCCCCTTCTCCCAGCCCCCTGCGCCTCCCACCTCGGTTTCGTCATCCATTCAGCCGGGGTAGGAAAAGCCTCCTTTTGAAGTTCAGGGTGGCGGCCTTTGAGAGCGTGGTAGAGGATGGGGCATGGGAAGGGTCTCTCACAAGCGCGGAACATTAGGAAACCCTACTGCTTGAGCACCTACTGTGCGCCTGACACTGAGGAAGGGGGCGGCTTCCCCTCTGCACCCAGAGAGTCAGCCTGAGCTCCGATGGAGGGAATGGGCTTTCCAGGCCAGGCACCCAGGCGGTGTGGGACCTTGCACACTGAGTGTGCGCACCTGCTTACGGTCATGCGCAAGTGGAAATCCGCAAAGAAGCTGCACGGGGCTGTTTCTAGCACCGCGAGTGGAAGGGGGAGGTGGCGGAGGACAGCGCGGTCGCCGCGAGCCTGGAGGAGAGCAGGGGTGCGCAGCCAAGAGAGGGAGTGTGCAGGGGTCACTCTTTCTGCCAGAGGAAAAGAGGAAGGTGGGAGCTAGCTGGAGCCGGGCAGTGCCCCCTCACTGGGCTTTGTGGGCAGGGGACTGTGTGGTGCCCACTCCCTCTCATGCTACGGGAGATGGAATGAAGGACAGGCACAGGGGCATGAAGGAATGGACGCGTAGACGGAGGAGTCATTGGGCGCATGCGGGGGCGCTTGCGAGGGTGGTCATGCGGGTTAGTGGATGGGGGACAGGTGGAGGATGGGTGAGGGCATGGTCGTCTGGGCAGGCGGATGTGCCCTCCTATGAGCGGATGGGTAGATAGGTGGGTAGGTGGGGGCGTGGGAGGGCGCATGGATTGGGGGGCATGCACAGACTGATGGGTTATTGGAGAGGTGTGTGAGTGGGTGGATAGAGGGGCAGGCAGGTGGGCAAGTGCTGATGGATGATTAGTGGATTGCTGGTCCATCCGTGGTTGCCCGCGTGGATCACGGATGGGTGACCCGTGGATGGGATGATGTGTGGATAGATGGGTAGATGGGAGGTAACTACAGTCACGTGCCGCATAACGACGTCTCGGTCAACGACAGACCGCATATACGACGGTGGTCCCATAAGGTCAGTACCATAGAGCCTAGGAGTGTAGTAGGCTACACCATCCAGGTTTGTGTAAGTGCACTCTGTGATGTTCGCACAACAACGCAATCGCCTAACGACGATTTCTCAGAAGGTGTCCTTGTTGTTAAGTGATTCCTGACTGTCCGCGGATCAGGAATGGAAGGATGGGCCGGTGGGTAGGCAGATGCCCGAGAATACGAATGGCGGAAAGGCCTGGCCTGCGGTCTCAGAGGGCAGCAGGGGGCCGCCCTGAGAGTCCCCACCGCAGGGATGGAGCACGCTTCCTGAGGACCTGATTACAAAACCGCCCAGAGCGGTGCTCTCAAACCGCCTTCTTGGGGCATCGGTGTTCTTTCTGTGACTCGTAGCTTCGGGAAAATGATGGCAGGTTTTACCGTCAGTAAGCCCTGGATGGTGAAAACAGAACTAAAATGTACTGAAATGGTTTTATTCTCTCAGTTTGAGTTGAAATAGCTTCCGGTTACCTTTAGATGAGAAGGATGTTGACTGGGGTTTGGGAGAACATTCTCCCAGGTGTTCTGCAGGAATCTGATGGGTTCTGTGGAGGCTGAAAAGGCTCAGGAACATGGATCACAGTGCCTGTACCCCAACCCTGGCTGCTCTGAGGTGTGGTAATGAGCCTCTAGGCAGGCAAAGACACAGAGCAGGGTGCCCGGGGTCACCGTAACCAGAGGGCCAGGGCAGAGGGAAGCAGTTGGGCTGAGGAGGAAAGAGCACCCCCGGATTGAGAGCAGGCACCCTGGGCTCAGTGCCCCTTCCTCTGGGTCCCTACAGTTGCCTGTGGTCCCCTGCCCCGTCCCCTTCACCATCACTCTTATGAGCATCTGCTTGTGGGTCTGTCCCCTGGCCAGGCAGGGAGCCTCTGGGGAGCAGGGACTGTGCTTGGCTCTCTGTGGGCCCTCGCGTGGTGGGTGCTCAGGGAGGAGGGAATGCAGCTGGTCACCACGTGCCCTTGGACACAGTGCTTTCCTTCTCGGACCTCCTGTTCCTCCTTTCTGTGGTGCCCCAGCCCCTGGTGGGACGGGTAGCCTTGAATGTCGGGAAAGACCTCCTTCAAGGAATTAGATGAGTTACTCTCGGCAAAGCCCTTGGAGCGAGGCCCGGCACACAGCAGTGCCCAGTGACTGTCTGCTCCTCTTAGGAGTGTTATTTTGACCCCCGTTGTTGGGCCTTTTGCTTATGGGACCCTCACTTCTGCTCTGCAGGGGCGGCTGGTTCCCCGAGGCCTATGTGAAGCCTTTGGAGGAGAGCCCCCTGAACCCCCTGACCCCGGTGACCTCCATGAACCCTATGAATGAGCTACCTTCCAGGTACCTGGGTGAGCAGGGGTGGGGACTCCAGTGGGGGTGGCCCCACCCAGCGGGGGGCATCTGTGAGTTGCAGTCCTGAGCCCCCTTCACCCCTGGAGAAAGGGCAGCCCCATTTCTCTAGCTGTGCGGGTTGCTGTGTCCATCCCCCTGCCTCCTCTCAGGACTGCCTTCAAGCCAACAGTCTCCTTCCACCCAGATGCGGGGGAAGAGGCCGCAGGATGCTCAAGAGCCCAGCGCATGGGGTCAGGTGCAGCAGGGCCTGACCCCCGACCTCCTCCCCTCCCCTCATTTCTCTGGACTCAGGGGTTACCCGCTCCGGGGCAGCCACAGCCTTGATGACCTCCTGGACCGGCCGGGCAACTCCACAGCGTCCTTGGAGTACTGGGATGGCCAGTCCCGCTCCCGAGCCCCGAGCCGGGTCCCAAGCCGTGCCCCCAGCCCCGCACCTACCCCCCTGCCCGGGAGCCGCCGAAGCAGCATGAGCAGCCCGGGCGTGGCCAGCGATGTCAGGGTGAGCGCCCTCCCCCAGCCTGTCCTCAACCCTGGGTCGTCCAGTGGGCAGGGAGGCCAGACCAGGTAACTCTCCCTGCTCTGCCACCAGCTGTCTGGCAGGGGACCCTGCTTCCCCAGCTCAGTCTGCCCGTCTGTGCAGGGAGGCGTGTGATGGGCTTCTGAGTCTGGGGCGAAGGGTGAGGTGAAAGCATTCCTCTCGGGACTGGAGCCCCGGGTGTCCTGCTGGGAGCACTGGAAACCACCCCCGCCGCCCCAGGGGAGGCCAGACCAGGGTCCTGGGTCAGAGCCTGGGCTGGGCTGGCCTGGGCAGGACAGAGGTGGGGGGCAGGGAGGGCACCTCCCCATGTGTATCCCCAGTCTTGTCCTGGGGGCAGTGGCTAGCCCTGGGAGAGAGTGCTCTCTCTCAGAGAGCCCAGAGGCTTCTCAGGTCTGAAACTCACACAGTTCTGGGCTTCAGAACGTTCGGGCCTCATTTCCCGGCACTGCAGGGGCCTCTGGCCAATCCTCGGCCCTCCTGGATTAGGGAGAGGGAGGGCAGGGGCTCACTTGCCACTTCCCTCCCGCAAACCGGGCCCTTCCTCCATCCCCACTGCAGAAACTTCCGTCCCTGGAGCAGCAACCCCCAGAGCTCTTCCCTCGGTGAGTCCTCGAGCAGGGGTCAGAGGGCACCGGGCTCAGTGGAGGGCTGTGGGGAGAGACAGGGTGGGGAGTGGAGGTGACTCCATGGGGGCAGGGGGGAGGGGTGGACACCTGGCTCAGGTGCCCAGCCACCTTCCCTGGGCCCCTCTCACCCCACCTCTCCTGCTCCAGGGGCACGAACCCGTTTGCCACCGTAAAGCTGCGTCCCACCGTCACCAATGACCGCTCAGCGCCCCTCATCCGCTAAGGCGCCTTCCTCCATCAGGGGTCTGAGGTCGTCCCCCCACACACCTGCCCGGGGGCTGCCCAGAGCTGGCGGCAGCAGAAGCAGCAGCAGTGGATGCGAGTGGCCGGGGCCCTGATGCGGGGCTGGCTGCCTTTCCCCAAACCGCGCCCCCAGCCTGAGCAGCTCTGAGGGCACTGGCCTGGGGTCTGGGGCCTTCAAAATAAAGCAGGCGGAACTGGGGCACAGAACCATTTCTTCCCCTCCAGCGGCCCCAAGACTCTCCCTGGGGGGCCCACCTCATGCCCCCCCACCTCCTTCCTCCTCTGCCCCAGTGGGGAGGAGCCCCTTGTACACCCCGCCCCTCACCCCCCATGTGTCCCCCTGTTCAACTTTTGTAAACAGTGAGAAATAAAGCAAATAGACACGGCCGCAGGCTGGTGGTGTCTGATTTAGGGGACAGGGTGGGGGTTGGGGATGGAGACCTCCACTGGAGGACGGCGTCCAGGAGGCCTGGAGGTCACTGCCCCTTCCCTGGGAGGCCTCGCTCACTCCCAGCCCCTCATGTCCCTCATTTTAAGTGAGTCATTAGGTCTTCCCTGAAGCCCTCAAGCTGTCTTCCCCCATCTCCAGCCCAGTCTCATTTCTGCTGTGGGTTCCCCAGGAAATAGTGCCCTCTCCAGAGGGGGAGGGGTGGCAGTGGCCAAGGTCTGGGACCACCAGCAAGTCACCTTCCGGTGGACCGGGACACAGCACCCTTTGTTCTGGCCCCTCCCTGCCCCCTCAGTCCCAGGCTGTCCAGCCCGGATTAGCCTTATCCAGGGGAAAGCCACGGAGGCCCCTCCTGGAATGTGGCCTGGGGGTGGGGGTCAGGCAAGGAGTTGAGGTGATTAGACTGGTGGGGTCTCTCCCGGGCAGGGCTGTGCCCCCAGCACCTCTGGGACACCCCTGGGCAGGGCTCTGTGTGTCCTCTGCCCGAGGTTCCCAAGGCTCCAGGAGGTGGAAGGTCTCCCCATCTCTCCAGCTCTCTTAGGAGGGGCATGGGACAGGAGCCCCACCGTGGGGCCTGGCCTGGCCCTGTGCTGCCGTAGCTCAGGCAAAAGCCTCTTAGAGGGGGTGGGGGTGGGGGTGGGGGGAACACTCTAAGCCCCAGGCCTGGGGGAGCGAGCTGTGGGGTGATAGTCTGGACGGCTGAGCTGCAGGCAAGCCCGGCAGTCTTCAACCGTGCCCCCATCAGACTAGGCTTCCCTGGGGAGCCGGTGGGGCAGCCCCTCCCTGCAGGCCTCAGAAGATGTGAGGCTGGACACCCAAACCCACAGGACGGCTCAGGTGAGTGTGGGGCGAGGGCTGCCAGGGACCACCCTCTTGTCACCGTCCTCAAGTGGTAGCCATGGTGAGGGGAGGACAGGCAGCAAAAACCAGACCCTGTCCTGGTGGGGGAGGGGTGGAGTCCCAGACACCCTCGGGGCCCTTGGCATCGCCCAGTGTGGGAGGGAGACCCCAGGCTCTGAGGGGCCTGGGGAGGGAGGGAGGGAGGCTGGTTCCTGCCCCAGCTGTGGGCTGGTCCATCCTGCCTGGAGGCCCACCCTCCTCGTCTGTTATGGGGGCGCATGGGCTGCTGTGTGAACCCCTGGGCGGAGCTCCAGGAGCGTGAGAGACTTCCTCCTTGTGGAAGGATTGGGGGGCTGCTAGACATCTGGAAGGCAGTTCTCTCTCCTGGTGTCCCTTCAAAGGTCCCCACCTGTCCAGTGGGAGCCAGAGATCTGACCACTCTCACCAAGATTCTCTGCTGGCCTGGGGTGGTCGCTCACCCGTCTCACAGGTCAGGAAACTGAGGCTCAGCGAGGGGAGGGGACCAGCCCAAGTCACAGAGCAAATCCAGGGTCAAGCTGGGATGAACTGGAACTCAGCTCCCTTGGCTTCTGAGACAAGGCTAATGTTGTTACAACATGTTTTGGGGTTTTTTTCCAAAATGTTCTAATGAGAAATTAGGAACATTCCACAAGGCCAGGGAGAAGAATAAACACTCATTTTGCGGCTGGCGCCAGTCTCTCCCCCGCCCCTCCCTCCACCGTGTTTGTTCCTGTGTCCTGAGACCCTCACACGTGCCCACTGGGGTCCCCACGCACATCCCCAGCGCACACTGGCTTCCCGGCTCTCCCACTCACCGCACCCCCTCTCCTGCCATCACTAGGTCCTGAGGCGCAAAGAGTGTCCTCCAGAGGGGTCTTCCTGAAGTCGACTCAGGTGGGAAGGACGCTGATATCCTCCCCTCATCCTTCATACGGCCCTTGGAGGAGGGGAGATTTGGGGTGAGGTTTCCCCTCCTAGCTCCGTTCCCTGAGCAGGGCTCACGTGGGTAGCCCCGTACCTCAGTTTCCCCACGCTGCGTCTCCATGCCCCTTCCCTGTCTGGGCTACAGACCCTCGCCTCTCCCTCTTGTCCCCCCTCCTCCAGCAGAAGCAGCAGCGATGGGCGCTGGCGGCCCCAGGCCGGCCGCGGGCCCCCCAGACGGCGGCTGGGGCTGGGCGGTGCTGGGCGCTTGCTTCGTGGTCACCGGTTTCGCCTACGGCTTCCCCAAGGCCGTGAGCGTCTTCTTCCGCGCGCTCATGCGCGACTTCGGTGCGGGCTACAGCGACACGGCCTGGGTGTCCTCCATCATGCTCGCCATGCTCTACGGCACTGGTCAGCGCCCCCTTGCTGTCCCTCCCCCCCGCCGCAGCCCCAGGATTGACGGTCTGGGCTCAGGAGCCAGGAGACACCTGACCCCCTGAGCATCCCCCGGGCTTCTAGGGGTGGCGCGGAAACCCCTTCCTTCCCCTGGAAACGCTGGGAGGAGAGAGGGGGGAGGAGAGGGCAGGAATGGGGCAGCGGCCAGAGGTGGAGCCCGCACCTAGGCGGCTGACCTGGCAAGCTTGGCCAGCGGGCAGGGCCGTTCCATTTCTGCCACACCCGCCTATGTTACAGGTGGGGAAACCGAAGTCTAAATGAGATTCCCGCTCCCCGAAGCCCTAGCCACCTGTGCGGATGGGGGAGATGCTGGAGTTTTCCTGGCCAAGCAGTGTGGGGAGTGGGGGTGAGGGATGGGGGGAGTCTGGGGAGGAAGGCAGCCCAGGCGGCGATTCCAGCTGTGAAGATAAAAAGGGAGTAGGGTCCGCCTCTTCTGCTTTGGGTTCCGTGTTCTCAGGACGGCTGGGGATGGCCGCTCTGGACCAGGACAGGTCCCTCCCTTTCATCCCCCGGTTGGGCGCTGTTTCCTTGGTCTGGCCCAGCCAAGCTGTGTGACCTCGGCCAGACACTGCCCTCTCTGAACCCGGGGGTGCGGGGTGGGGGTGGCGCTATCCCTTTGAGCCGTCTTCCAGGGCTGGGAGGTGCAAAGTCTGGAGTGTTCACCAGAGAGGAGCTTGGTCCAGCCCGAGTGGTGACCCTGCCCTGCCCACAGGCCCAGTGTCCAGCATCCTCGTGACTCGCTTTGGCTGTCGCCCGGTCATGCTGGTGGGTGGGCTATTGGCCTCTGCGGGCATGGTCCTAGCATCCTTCGCCACGCGCCTCGTGGAGCTATACCTGACGGCTGGGGTGCTCACAGGTGAGGGTGCCCACTGCCCTCCTCCCTGCGGGGGTGAGGGTCGGGAGTCCTTGCTGCAAGACGTCCTGTCCTAGGTTTCCCCATGAGGGTCGGTCCTCGAGGTCCCTCTGCTCACTTCCCCGAGTTCCGCCCACCCTGTCGCCCTCCCCCCTCCTGCTGGCAGCTGGGGTGGGGCCGCCCTCGGGGAGCCGGGCACAGCGCCGCCTCGCCCGCAGGCCTGGGCCTGGCCCTCAACTTCCAGCCGTCGCTCATCATGCTGGGGCTGTACTTCGAGCGGCGGCGGCCTCTGGCCAACGGGCTGGCGGCGGCCGGCAGCCCGGTGTTCCTGTCGGCGCTGTCGCCGCTCGGCCAGCAGCTGCTCGAGCGCTTCGGCTGGCGCGGCGGCTTCCTGCTGCTCGGCGGCCTCCTGCTGCACTGCTGCGCGTGCGGCGCCGTCATGCGGCCGCCCCCGGGGCCCGGCCCGCGGCCACGCGGGGACAGCGCAAGCGACGCTCCGGGGGAGGTGGAGACGGACGGCGCCGGGCTGCGCCTGCGCGAAGCGCCCCCTGGCGGCCGGACCCGGCGGCGCCTGCTGGACGTGGCCGTGTGCGCCGACCGCGCCTTCGCGGTGTATGCCGTCACCAAGTTCCTGATGGCGCTCGGGCTCTTCGTGCCCGCCATCCTGCTGGTGAACTACGCCAAGGACGCGGGCGTGCCCGACGCCGACGCCGCCTTCCTGCTCTCCATCGTGGGCTTCGTAGACATCGTGGCGCGGCCGGCGTGCGGCGCCCTGGCCGGCCTGGCGCGCCTGCGACCGCACGTCGCCTACCTCTTCAGCCTGGCCCTCGTGGCCAACGGGCTCACGGACCTGAGCAGCGCGCGCGCGCGCTCCTACGGCGCCCTTGTCGCCTTCTGCGTCGCCTTCGGCCTCTCCTACGGTATGGTGGGCGCGCTGCAGTTCGAGGTGCTCATGGCGGCCGTGGGTGCGCACCGCTTCCCCAGTGCGCTGGGCCTGGTGCTTCTCGTCGAGGCCGTGGCTGTGCTCATCGGACCGCCCTCTGCCGGTGCGCTCCGCAGGAGGAGAGGGTGACGCGGCCTAGGGCCCCTAAGTCCAAGGGAAACCCCCTCCCTGGCCCAGATGGAACATCCAGGGATGAGGGGAAGGGACCCATCAGAGGAGACAGGCTGGTGGAGTGGACTCCCCTTCCCATGGCCAGTTAGCCCCTCCTCAAGCCGGTACCCCGAGCTCTGGGTGAGGACGGAAAAGCCAGGAAAGGTGCCAGGAAGAAACCCGCACTGATAGCTGCTGGCCCACTAGCTCGCCTCCAGCCGTGGGCACGAAGGCCTTGTGAAGTGCAGGTGCTTCTGCTTTTGCAGATGGGGGAACCGAGGCACACAGGCCCAGTACAGTTTGCAGTCCCAGAATTAGATGGAAGCCCGGCCTGGTGCTAAGCCCGTACCTTTGAACACTGCATCTCGGGGCCCCTCGGGCTGGCCCAGTGGCTTAGCGGTTAAGTGCACACGCTCCACTGCTGGTGGCCCGGGTTCGGATCCCGGGCACGCACCGACGCACCACTTGTCAGGCCATGCTGTGGCAGCGTCCCATATAAAGTAGAGGAAGATGGGAACAGATGTTAGCCCAGGGCCAATCTTCCTCAGCAAAAAGAGGAGGATTGACATGGATGTTAGCTCAGGGCTGATCTTCCTCACACGCAAAAAAAGTGTGCGCTCTGCTGAAACACTGCATCTGAGTGCTTTAGTCTCCCCAGCCTCTGAGGGTGACTGGAATAGGGACAGTGTCTTGGGGAAGCAGCCCTGGGGCCAGGAGCAGAGTTGGGGGTGCTCAGCGTGCTCATAGGGAGGAGAGGTGCTGGGGTCTTCCACTGTGCACACTACCTGCTGGGCACTCGGTGTTCATCGTCTCTTAGGGAGTCATCATGACAAGGGTGGTCTCAGAGGGCTTCCCCTGATGGCTCAGGGAGCCATCTTCCATTTTCTTGTGTGACCCTGGGGTGGATGTAAGAGGCAGAGAAGGCGCATGGGGTGAGAAGGTGGTGAAGGCCACCTCAGGGCTGCATGTGGGAGGGACGGGACTGGCTGGCTGGGCGGGGAACAGGAAGGCAAGTTTGAGGGAACACTGCTCAAGGGGGCTCAGGCCAGCAGCCAGCTTGGGACACCGGGGAACCTCCCTGAGGCCGCAGAGATGCAGACTGAGGGGTCACAGGCTGGTGCGGACAGCCACAGAATGCCCCCGAGATGGGGAGCCCGCGGAGGAACCACACTTGAGGGGAAAAGATTTGCAATTAAAAGATTTTCCTGAGTATGAGGGTAATATTTGCCTGTGATAGAAAACTCGGAAACTACAGAGCTGAGCCATGCCGCTGAAGAGCAGGGGCGTCAAGTGGAGAGAGCAAGAGTTAGGACCCCCAGGAGAGCAGGGCTGAGCTCAGGCCCCCTCCCCACTCCCACCCCAAATATCCCAGGTGGGTAAGTCACAGGGCACTTGTGGGGCTTGAATCCAGGGGTGCAGGGAGTGCCGTGTAAACTGTGAAGTACTGTCTCACCAAAGGCCCCATATCACTTAAGAAATTGAGGTCCAGGGAGGTGAAGTGAGTTTTAAGGTCTGAAATGTTAGAACCTGCATGGGGTTTTGCATCTGTAAAATGGGAATAAAGGCTGGGGCGTGTGTGTGTGTCACCCATGAGCCCACCAAGACCACTGCCCTTTATCTGAGGGTGTGTTGAGGGGGTGAAGGGTGGGGTCTTCCACAGGCCCTTACCACCCCATCCCCCCCAGGCCGCCTGGTGGATGCACTGAAGAACTATGAGATCATCTTCTACCTGGCTGGCTCCGAGGTGGTCCTGGCAGGGGTTTTCATGGCTGTCGCCACCAACTGTTGTCTGCGCTGCTCTCAGGACGCCCCGCCCAGCTCAGGCACAGAGGGCGGGGCCAGCGACACCGAGGATGCTGAGGCCGAGGACGCAGAGGCTGAAGGGGACTCTGAGCCCCTGCCCACGTGCTCCGAGGAGCCCGGTGGCCTCGAGGCCCTGGAGGTGCCGAGCCCAGGGGCTGGGCCCTCAGAACCCGAGGTGGAGGCAGAGCCAGGGGTGGACCCCGAGACTGTGTAGTGCGGGGGCACTAGGCATGGTGGCCGGTGACTTCCCTTCTCAGAGGCCTGGCTGCCCCAGGAGGGCCTGGCACACTGGAGGCTGCTCTGGGGCGGTCTTCCCGGGGGCCATGGGGGCGCTGCCTCCCTCATCTGCCCAGCGGGCCACGGCCGGGCCCTGCTCCCGCTCGGTGAAGCTGCTGTGCACGGACAGGGTCTGGGCCTGTGTGAAACTGAGGTTCATAAAGCTCAGCTGAAAGACGAGCTGAAGGACAGAAGGTTCTGCGTTTCTGCTTCTCCGCTGCGGCTCTGGCTGCTCCCGGGGGGGTGGGGCAGGAGGGAGTCTGAGAGGCTCTCCCAGGGCCCCCTGACCCGCAGGTGCTGGGGGAGGAAGTCGCAGAGATTGGGGTGGGCGTAGTGTTCCCAGACTGACAGGCAGCAGGGGCGGCCCTGGCCTTCAGCTCCTGCCAGCCCCAGCCCCACTGCTCAGAGCTGGGTGCTGAAGCCCCGCTGGCGGCACCTGTCGCTGGAGGGGCCCAGAGCAGTGAGAAGGAGCACAGGTCCCGGAGCCACGGGCTGGGTTGAATCCTGGCCCTGAGCCTCGCTCCTCTCACTCCCTGAGGTTGACAATAAATGACTCCATCTCATGGCGTCCCAGCAGAGCGTGTGGCCAGCACCTGCCCTGCTGCCTTCTGCGAGGCGTGCCTGTCCCCACACCTTCCTAAGGGGGGACCCTCTCCCAGCTGAGCTCCGGTCTCTTCTCTCTAGGGGATAAACTCAGGTCCTGGGCCTTTGCTCTGGACACGTGCCCCATGGATATCACTGTGGCTCTGTGGGCAGCACAGTCACCCTGGCATCTGCTTCCCCGCGGGGGGTCCCAGGGACATCTCTCGAACTTGATTCAAGTGCAGGGGGCTCCAGGTCTCCTGCTGGCTGAGCAGACTCAGGGATCTACTTTCTCTCTGTTTATTCTCACCCCACAAATGTGACACCCCTGTCCTTGCTGCTCTCCCTCCAAATCCTGAGCGTGATGACCAGGCCCCAGTGGAGGAAGCAGTCTTCCCCCCGCAGACCCCCACTCAGTCTAGCTGTGCTCCTCAGGAGGGCCCATCCCACTGGTGACTCCTTCCCTGCTAGTCTTTTTCCATCCGGGCCCCAGGAGGGTGTGGGGAGCCCTTGCAGATGCCTGGCCGACTTCCACTGTCTGCGTTTTCCCCCGAGCACTACAGCAATGACTACATCTTATTTTATTCAACAAATCCCTATAGAGCGCTGACTCTGTGCCAGGCGCTGTGCTAAGCCTTTTACAAATGTTCCCTCATCTAATCGTCATAACAACCCAGTGAGGTAGGTACCATTATTAGCCCCACTCACTGACAGGGAAACTGAGGCACAGGGAGGTTAGGAAGTAGACCAGGGTCACAGAGGCTATGATTGGAACCCAGGCTGTTGGTTCCAGTCTGTGCCCTTGGCCTCCACGCTGGCTGGCCCCTCAGAGAGGTGGTGCGGTCTGACAGCTCTAGGGGACCCACGTGCACTCCTGGTGACAGCGCATCTCTTCCTCCACGCTCCCAGTCCTGCCTGAGAATCCCATTCGGGTTTCTGCCCAGGACCCGCACACTCAAAGCTAACAAGCAGAAAACATTTCTCCCCCATTGTGGCCTCTGCCCACCCCTCACGCCCTCTTGTACCCCTCCCATTCTCAGGATGACCACAGAATTCATGGTCCAAACAGGGACACTTGGCGAGTGAAAAGGGCCACTATGAACAGTTACACCAGGAGCACAGGCGTGGACTGGGACTGCCCAGGTGAAGCAGGACACACGGCCACCCTGTTTCTGCCACTTTGCAAAGACACGGGATACTAGTGTGGCACTGTCCGCTGGGCTGCTGCTCACGGCCCTGGCAGAACAGGTGCGCCTGGGGTGGGGGGCACCCATACGTTCTCTCCCCTATTTTGGGCCTCGACTCCTGACCCGGTGTCTGTCCTGCCCTTCCCAAATAAGGTTTAGTTCATGGCCGGACACACTGAAGCACCAAAGATGAGGGTGATGGAAAAGGCTCCACAGAGCAGAAAGCTTGGAGGCAGGGGGAAGTCGAGTCTTTTGGACCTGAGAGATCTGAGACCAAATCCCACTCTGTGTGGGTACATGGTGTGGCCTTGAGCAAGACACTTCTCTGGGCCTCAGTTTCCCACCTGTAAATGGGGACAACAGTGCTAATCCACAGAGCTGCTGTGAGGAAGAAGTGATGTACATAAAGGGAATGTCACTAAACCTTGTTGCCCACCCTCCCTTGTGATCAGGGAGGCAGAGGGATGTCAAGGGGAGAGGAAGGTCTGAGGCACTGCAAAGAGCCCGGCTCCGTCTGGGTTTGTGTTTATTCAATACAGGCCCAGCGCCCAGCCCTTCCCTGGGAGGGGGCTGTGCTAGGGGAATAAAATAAATAAAGGCCACCGAGGTGTGAGTGTGGCCTGGGGCGGGGCCAGCCTGGGGCAGGTGAGGGGGTACACGAGACACGGCCCCGACCTCAGCTGGCTGCCCTGGGCCCCCACTCCTGGCAGGCTCCAGGCTGGGGGAGGCACCCACGAGGAACAGGTCCGGGACTTCCTGCCACCTCCAACCCATTCTCCTTTCCGCCCTCTCTCCTTCCTAAGGCGGATCCCAAGACCAGGCTCTCCATCTGGCTGGGGAGGTGGGGAAGGAAGGCGGAGGGGCCAGTGTCCAGGTCCCAGGCCATGGCCGCAGTGCCCTTCCTGGGCAGGAGCCCAGGTGCGTTGTGCTAGGACAGAGGAGCAGGGAGGCAGGCGCCCCAAGCCAGCAGGCCTTTATGCGCCACCCTGTGTGCGGCGGCCCCGCCCCGCTCCCCGGCTGCCGTCCTCCCGCTCCCCCAGCCCCCAGATCCGCGCCCCTCGGGGCACTCAGGAGTCACACCAGCTTCCGCCCCTGTCCAGGGGCCCGGCAGCCCCTTGTGCATCCCTGGACGGCTCCCCAGCTGCTGTGTCCTCCTCGTCTTCGTCCTCCTCGTCCTCCCCGTCGGTGAACCCGTCCTGGCTGAGGCCGTAGGCCAGCGTGGTGTGGGCCAGGTCCACCTCGATGGGGAAGACGTCGGCGTCACGCAGCACGGCGTAGCAGTCGTTGTAGTACTTGGACATGGTGGACACGAAGCGCTGCAGCTGGAACACGATGTCCTGGACTGGGGCAGGCAGGCGGACGCCACAGTGGCGTGGCTGCCTGCCGCGTGGAGAAGACCCCCCGAGGCTGCCTGGGCCCGCCTCCCTCCCCTGGGCTTCCCATCATGCCCCTCACTGACCCCTCCTGCCCCGGGCCCTACACAGAACCAGGTCTCCCGGCTCCTAGTTCAGGGACTGAAGGAGCCCTGCCAGGGGTCGGACGGTGGACTGCGCAGGGCGTGGAGCAGTCCACCAGGCCGGGCTCCGGGACGGGGGGTGGCTCCTGCCAGGGCGTTCCCTCTTGGGTCTGACTTGGAGCTCGGCCACCGCCTGCCCTGGGACCAGGTGAGTGCTTCACCTCCCCGGGCCGCAGTGCCCAGCTCTGAGAGGGGGAGGAGATGGTGCCCACCCACCACACCGAGGATGGTGTAGGGACTGACTGAGGCAGGGCGTGAGCCCCAGCCCCCAGCGCCCACCTCCGTCCCTCACCGTGCTTCTGGTCCAGCAGCTCCATTTTCTCCAGCACGTCCTTGCGCATCTGGGAGAAGCGGGCGCGGGCCTCCTGGCGGCAGCGCAGGATCAGGCGGTACTCGTAGTTGCCTGTGCTCACGCGGTACAGGGGCTCCCCTAGGGCCTGGGGCGGGGAGGAGCACATCAGGGACGCGGAGGGGGGCGGGGAGCCTGCCCTGGGGCAGAGGGGGCAGGAGGGCTGCAGAGCCCACCCAGACACTCACACCCCGGCCCCACACGGCACTTTTCAAAGCACCCAGGGCTCCTCGTTTCTGAGCTGCCAGCAGCTGCTGGAAGCACTCAGTAAGAGCTTTGTGAAAACAACAGAAGCCAGGCCCTTGCCACGGTAAATAGATGGACTGCTAGTCATAAGATGGATCTTGATAGCAAAAATATTAAAAATTAAAAATGGGGCCGGCCCAGTGGCGCAAGCAGTTAAGTGTGCACGCTCCGCTGCAGTGGCCCGGGGTTTGTGGGTTCGGATCCCACGTGCGCACCGAAGCACCGCTTGTCACGCCATACTGTGGCGGCTCCCATATAAAGTAGAGGAAGATGGGCACAGATGTTAGCTCAGGACCAATCTTCCTCGGCAAAGAAAAGAAAAAAAGAGGAGGATCAGCATCAGGTGTTAGCTCAGGGCTGATCTCTCTCACAAAAGAAAAAAAAAAAATTAAAAATGCCTCTTAGAAGTGAGGAAAGTTCGCTTTTCCCTGCAAAAGCCTCACAAAGCCTGTGGGGGGCAGCTGGTCTGGGTGCAGGCCTGGTAGCAGTCCCACAGCAAGCTGGCCAGCACTCCAAGGCCCAGGGGGGCCAGGGCTGGGGCGGGATAGCCCCAAACCTCCAGAAATAAGAGCCTGGCTAGGCCCCCCATGCCTCTCCTGGGCTGGCCTGACCCAGCTGGTGTCCCTGGCAGACCCAGGACATTCTTGGGGCTCCGTGAGGCAGGAGGGGAAGGTCTGTACACCCCGAGCCTGTGCAGTACCAGGGCCGAGCCCCCACCCCTGTGACACTCACAATGCAGCTGTATTCCTCGTCGTCCATCTCCTTCACCTTCAGGCAGTATGACTGTGGGGGACAGGGGAGGCCAGGCTGTCGTAGTGGCTGCACCTCCTGGATGCCCACCCTGATGTCCCCCGTCCCTCCCACGCCACACTGTCCCCTAGGCCACACAGAGGAGCAGCCATGCCAGACCTCCTGGGCCCTGCAAACCCCCAGCTGGGATAAGCTGAGACACGTCAGGGAGAGGCTGGCACCTCACAAGACTGGCCCCTGCTCAGCAAGGCCCAGGGCAGGGGGCAGCAGGCGGGAGAGGGCACTCATCTGGGAGGGTGGGAAGGGCCTGAGAGACAGCCCAGTGTTTAGCAAACTCAAGTCCCAATAGATGCTTGGAGGAAAAAAGGGTCCCATGGTCAAAAGAGCTTGGGACGGCCCTTGAAGACTCATGTTGCACACGGGCCTCTCAAAGGCTCTGAGAAGTCCTGCAGCAAAGGAACCCTGGCTTGCTTAGTGGAGCATTTTTCCTCAACTCCTTTGACCAGAGAATTATTATTTAAACATAAAACTCATCAACATTCCTTGGTACCCACTTTATAACCAGTGACCTAGTCTAACCCATCGTTAAAAGTGAGCAAAAAGTCCCAAGGGGTCAGAGTGATCCAGAGGGCTCTGCCCACCCCAGGCTCCCAGCCCCCAGAGGCTCCTCTGAGCAGTGGGGGTGGGGCCTGGGCCACTGCCTAACTCCCCAGCACCTCCCCAGGCCCCTGGTCCCACAACCTCAACCAGACGTGACAGAGGTCCCGGCCCGCCCTGCTTGCCATCCTGTGGCAGACTGAAGGAGGGGCAACTCTCCAGGTGGGCTCTTAGCCCAGCAGGCCAGACCCGCCCCTCCCAGAGGCTGCAGCCCACTCACCAGGTACTCAAACTTCACGTCCAGGTACTTCTTGATGGTGAGGCGAGTGTCTGGGATGGCCTTGTTGAGGTACGTGTTCAGGTCCGTCAGCATCTGGAAGGGGGACCGGACGGATGCTGAGGCCCCCATGGGCAGGGGTGTCAGGGTGAAACAAAACGGCCCCGATGCGTCAATCTTTCCAGGGGACTCAGGCATCAGAGCCAAAGGGCGCTCCCAGATGACCTCATCCACCTTGAGGATGAGAAGACAGGCCAGGCCAAGGGCAAGCTGCTACTCAGTGGTGCAGCCAGGACCAGAAACTGGCCTGCAGCTCAGTGCTGAGGCCAAGGAGGTGGAGTGACTGACCCACGGTCAGCCGTGTAGGTGACCAAGCCAGACCTGCACCCAGGTGTCCCGACGCCAGCACAGGACCCTGGCTGTGTGCCACACTGTCCCCTCTACCCTCGCGTGCTGACACACATGTGCTCGACACGACCTACCGGCTTGATGGTTTTCAGCAGCCGGATGCCAAACTTCTCAATGCTGCGGTGGGCGTCAGCAAACTTCACGAAAGCCTCGCTCGCAGCTGGCTGGGGCTCCCGCACCCCAATCACGGAGAACACGTCCCCAAAGGCTGCATGACAAGTTTGCCCTGAAGGCTGCCCCCACTTGACCCTTAACGGAGAAGCCAGGGATTTGCTGGGGGCATGGCAGAATAGAGGCCAAGGTCTACACGGGGTCTACACCTCAAAAAAGGTGGGTTTACACCTTGAAGGAGCTGGTCTACACCCCCAAGGGAGCTGGCTCTCATTCCCCAGAGTGACCACACCACGGGAGAAGGCTGGGTCAAGGTTGGAGGAGGTGGTGTTTGAGGGCAGAGCACTTGTCTGGGAATCTGGATGCTTGGGTCCTAAGGCCACCTCTGCCGCCAAGGAGCCATGTGACCGTTTCCTCTGTCTGGGCTTCACTTTCCCAATTGTAAAATGGGGTTAACCCTGGCTGCCCTGCCCAGCTAATGGACTTGTAGGAAATGAGACCACGAATAAGGAAGGGCCTCGTACACTGTAAGTGGCAGTGCAGACAGACGGGACGGGTCCTGGACGAGTGACTGTGCCCCACAGAAGACTAGCCGGTCTGATACTCCCCACGGGCTCCTGTTACTGCTACAGCCCGGCATCTAGACAACGCCCTGCCCAAACCCAGCCTGAGGCCAGACGCGGTGGTGTCCCCCTGAGCGCAGGCATGAGGAAGGCTCCAGGGAGGAGCTGAGCCACACCCTTGCTGTATGGGGGCACTGAGCCCAGAGCAGGGCAAGGGTTCTCCCAGGGTCATGCAGCAGGTTTGGGGTGCCCTTACCCCGGTGCGTCTGCGACAGCTCATAAAAGGCCCGTAGGAGGTTCTTGGTGTGTTCTGTCATCCCTGTGGGAGACACCCGACCAAGGGGGACATGGGCACATGGCGGGGACCACACTGGCCCAGGACACGGCCTCCAACCCCACCCAAGGCCCTCACTGTTACTGGATTCACTGACTTTTCCCACAGCCCCACTAGGGCCCAGGGCTGCAGCCTCAAGGCCGGCCCCAGCCCACCGTGAGGAGCCCCCATGAGACAGGGGGTCAGGCCTTCGCAGGGGCAGGTGAGCAAGGCCTCCGGTGGGCCTTACCTCTGGGAGACAGTGCGATTCTGGGGATTCTCACTATGTTTACAGGTGCTGTTATTTCAATTTTCATGGGTATGTATTACTTTTATAACCAGAAAAAGTATGTCTTAAGACTTTTTTTTCCTTAAGAATTCTTAATGGCCGTGGTCCTAGAATTGTGTAGGCTGGCATTCCTGTCCCCAGTGCCACCATCTGGAGAGCAGGGCTCTAAAGCTCTACCCCAGGACAGAGCCAGCGCCGGGCTCCTCCTGGACTGGGCCACCCCGCCCCCCACGGGGCTGCCAGCGAGGGGGCCTGCCCACCTCTGTACAGCTCGGCCGTGCGCTCCAGCTCCTCAAGCCTCTTGACAAGCCCATCTGTGGGGTTGGAAGGCAAGGTCAGTTGGTCTTGGCGAGCCATGGGGTGAGGAGAAAGGGCCAGGAGAGGCCCGAGCCAGGCTTGGGAGGGGAGGGGCAGCCCCGAGAAGACCAGGATCGGCACAGAACGGGGTCCCAGGGAGGGGGATTTGGCACCTCAGGGTCAGCTGGGCTCAGAGGTGTTTTGTAAACAGCCCAGCACAGCCAAACAAGAGGCAAGTGGGGGCCAGGCAGGCTGCCCTCAGGACGCTCCTGAGACCAGCCACTACCCCGGCAGGCAGGCTGGGCACATCGAGGGGGCAGAGGTGATGACAACGCAGGCACTTCCAAAAGGCATGAGGGAAAAACGGTCGGGCCCTCCCCAAGGCCAAACCTGTGGGTGGCCCCCCACAGTCTAGCAGTCAAGACCCCCCGTACTTCTAACACCCTGCCGACAGCCAAGGAGGAAGGCAGTCAGAGACAGGAGGAGACACAAGATGTGTGGATGATAACTCTAATGCAGGCTCAATGCAGCCCCTACTGCTGGGGAGGCAAGTGTGGCGGCTCAGAAGGGAGAACAATCTGGGGAGGGGGGAGAAATTCAGGAAGGGCTTCGGGAAGAGCTCACATTGGAGGACCGGGCCTTGGTGACCATCTTCATTTGCTTAACAAGTATTTATTAAGCACCTACTGTGTGCAGATGCCGTGTTAGGCCCAGGGAATGACCGTGGTGACTGAGATCCAAGTCGAGGCTCACAGGCCAGCAGAGGAAACGGTGGTCAGGCAATGACTGGCAGTGACAGTAAGGACTGTAAGGTGAGGGGCGGGGGCGGCTGCCTCACCTCAACGGCTGGAAATGGGGGCAAGTGGACTGCCAGGGACAGGGCAGGCATTCCAGACAAGGCAGAGGCAGGGCAGGGAGCTCAGGACACAGCTAAGGGCCAGGGCAGTGAGGAGTTATGACATTCAGGGTTCCCTCTAGCAGCGAGAGCCACCCTCCTCCGCTCTGATGGGGATGAAGTACGCACCCACCTCCCCACGGACCCACCTCCCCACAGGGAGCACCAACAGCAACCGCAGGGCAGGGCCCCATGTCGGTGGCTTCCTGGCCCAGCCGCCCCCAGGGCAGGGCCTGGCCTTCCAGAGTGACTGTGTTGTGAGCAGGACTCCTCAAGGCTCCCTCCACACCCCTCAAGGCTCCCTCCCTCCAGTCCTTTCTCCATAAGAGCCTTTGGGGCATAAGAGCCTTTGGGGCGGGGACTACTTCCCTCATTTTATAGAGAAAACTGAGGGACAGAGAGATAAAGCAACTTGCCCAGAGGCACACAACCGGGGGCTGTCCCAGTTGGGGGGCTCTGTGCCCTCAGTCTCCTGTGTTGACCTGAGTCAGGGTTTTCTGAGCGGGAGGGGAGGAGGGGCATAGCAGAGGCCGAGTCTGGGCCTTTCTCTGGGCAGAGAAGGCGGCTGTGTGATGGGCTGTCTGGGAGGAAGGCTTGGGCTCTGGGGGAAGGAAGGAAGCCCCTCAGACATCTTCAGGAGGCTTTGGCCACCCAGCTGGCCTCCAGGCCCTGGCTCCCGGAGCCTTGGCCCCCCGCCAGCCTGGCAGGGAAGGAGCCACGTAAGCGTCGTGCTGTTGTTTTTAGCTGGGTCATGGGACATCATGACAGCTTCAATTTTAGAAACCCTATTTAAGGCTGGGGAAATTGCAAGGTTTGGGGGGAAAAAACACAACAACCAGTTCTAATTTCATCTCAATGCACGGTAACTACAGTAACAGGGATTTATAGACACCAAGAGGCCGAAAATAGCAGCCACCACTTTTGTACACCACTTGGAACAAGCTCAGGCCCCACCGCCACGTCCCAGCCAATAAAGCCCAGTGCGCCCGGCTGAGCCTACAATTCATATAGGTATTTATATCTACTCCCCACACACACGGCAGAGCTGCTGCTATTTATAAACTCTGGCTGGTGGCGGTAGGAGCAGGACCAAGTGTTCTACTGGCCGCCCTGGGGAGAGAGCATGTGTGCACACGCTTGTGTGGGTGTGAATGTGCGTGTACATGGCTTCCCCCTGCCCGAGGCAGCAGCCACCTCCAGCCCTGGGCAGGAACAGCTGAGACAAGGACCACAGCGCCACCTCCTGAAGAAAGGCCCGGGCTGAGGTGGGCAGCATGGGAGGAGCGTGTGCACTGGGGCAAGGGGGTGAGATGAGGGCACACGGTGGAATGAGGGCAGGGGCTGAGCCTGGCTATGCGAGAGCAGCTGGAACAGTGCAGAAGGCACCAGCTCGGGGCGCCAGAAGGAGAGACCTCCCCACCGTGAGTCTGTCTCCACCTGTGACCTGTGCCTGTGAAGCCTTGCCTGGGGGTAAGGGACCCCTGGCTGTACAACGGCTCCGCTGACCGCTGTGTACGCTCTCTGGGAGCTGGAGAGGCCTCCGGGGATGCAAAGAGATGGTGATGATCAGCTCCACATGCAGAAGCCAGGTCAGGCCGGCGGGACCCACATTGGCTTGGTGCACAGCCAGGGTAGCCCTCCCCCTGGAAGCCTGGGCCTGAGTCACCCGGGGCCTGAGTTGGGTGGGAGGAGGGGACTCACCATTGCACAGGATGGCCCGGCTCAGGCCCAGGGCATCTGCGGTCCCTGAACTCATGTTCTCCACCAGCCGATGCTTTACCTTCTTTAACACTGGGAGTGGATGAGAAAGGGACTCAGCGAGGTGGAGTCTGCAGCTGGGCCCCAGGCCATCCCTGCCGCCAGCCTCATCATGACTCCCTGGCAGCAGCAGCAGGGGCAGAAGGGCTAAACTGAGGTGTGGTTTGGGGAGTGTCCAGTGGGGGTACTGGGCCCCTGCCCTGTTCACTCGCCACTTCAGGGAGGCGTTGGGAGCCGAGAAGGAGGTAAATATGTAAAGTGCCATTGATGATTTGGCTGTCACTGAGAGCCCAGACTGCCCCAGGCTCAACCCTGGCTGACAGGGAAACCAGGGAGAGCCTCGTCTCCTTCTCTCTCCACCTCTGGACCTGGAGTGTCCTGCACGAGGGGAGTGGAGGCACCATCAGTGATAACCGACCTTGGACCCAGACTCAGTTATAGCACACGTGGTCGCATACTCAGACTCCGAAAGGGGATCGGGATGGGACAAAAGGGTTTTAGAGGAAGAACCTCCAGGACAGACTCCATCTGCTCTTAGCCTCTTTCCTTAAAAAACAGGAGGTGGCTCTGGCCTAGGGTGTAGGAAAAGGGTGCTGGACTTGAGAGCCGAGAGATCCAGGTTTGCATGCACCCAGGGAACACAGAGCCCTCTGTGGGTCTCAGGCTTTGATCTGGAATGAGTGGCTGGTCCAGAGGACCTCGAAGCTACGGTCCAGCTCTTGAGTCTTGAAGCTTCTATAGAACCAAGGCCCAGCCTCTCTAGCAGGAGGCAACATGTCCCAGGACACCCTGTAGGCAGAAGGGCTGGCCTGTGACCCTCTGCCCAAGGCCTGAGGTCCAGTTCAGACCTAGAACCTTCCTGGGAGTAGGTGGGTGGAAGAGGAGGCCAGGGCCGAGTGGGCATGTGCAGGTGGGCATGAGGTGCCAGGCCAGGGCTGGGCTGCCCTCCCTTTCAGAAGGGTGAGGACCTGGGCCGTGGTAAGCGGAAGGGCTGGCCTACGAAGGACAACTCTAGGGCAGCAAAGTCCCAGAAGAGATGGCCGGGGGCAGTGAAAACCAGGGACAGGTTCCTGGGAACAGCTGCAGGGAGAGCACCCCTGGTGGCTCCCAGGACCTTTGGATCGGCTTCATTAGAAAGGCCAGAGACCACGGCCACGTAACTATTGACGCAGTCATAGAGAGGCAGAACGGGCCGGGGGACAGTGCGGCCGCTGGACGGCACTGCTCTGGCCCAGCTTACCAATGTCCAGGGACATGCCCTGTTTGGGGTCCGCCTGCAGCTTGTTGTAGTGGATAGTCACCTCCCCCTGGAAAAGCAAGACAGGTAGAGTTGTGATGGAGTCTCCTGGACCCCAAGCCCCCTCCCCAGGAGGCCTGTTTGCCCTGGAATCTGTGGTCAGGAGAGATCTGAGCCCTGAGAAGGGGCGAGAGCAACTATGAATTCAGACCTGCTGGGCTGAGGGCTGGGACAGGGCCCTGTGCTGTGACCAGTCTGCTCCCAGGTTCCTCCCTTCTCTCACTACGTTCCAGGCCCTGGGGAATCAGCAGGGACGAGGGCAGACATGGTCCCTGCTGTCACAGAGCTCACAGCCTGGCAATCTCTGATGTCCTGTGCTCCAGCCAGGTCGGGTACCCTGCCCCTTCCCACCACGCCACACTCCAAACCTTAGCTATGTCATTTTTTCCCACACAGAGTACCTTCTTCTGCGCTCTAAATCACCCCCTTCCTCAGGAGGCCCTCCATTCACTCAACAAACATGTCCGAGCACTCTCTGTGCCTGGTGCCGGTGCCAAGGAGCAGGGGCGGGCAGCCCCAGCCACCAAGGCCCAAGGCCAGCAAGGGAGACGGACACACACATCGAATTCTAGTGACTGTAGGGGAGGAGCCAGCTTCTCCCGAGAAGCCTTCTCGGACCACATGAGGCCACCATGGTCACTCTCGTCCTTACAATCCTAAGACCCTTGAACTTGGGACTGAATCCATTCAAATACAAAACAGGATTTCAAAACTGAGTCCTGAAGAGAAACCAAAATGACCAGACACAGCCAGAGTTGGGGGTAGATGCAGAAAGCTCTCTCAGGCCGCAGCACAGCGTGCTTGGGGGACCACCCGGAGAGCAGCTGAGGGGTGGAGGAAGGAGCACTCCGCGAGAGGCAGACCTGTATTCTGGTCCCACTGTGTGACCACAGGCTAATCCCCTCCTCCCTCTAGGCACGGGTGAAAGGGTGACAGTAACCCCCCGCCCGGCTCCCGAACATGGGAGCTGTGCACACCAAGAGCTCTGGTCCTCACGGGCAACAGAAGGGGCTGGCGGGAGACAGGCCTCGGAGGACAGAGGGTTCTGATGAGCAGAGATGGTGAGGGGGTGAGGAAGGGGATCCAGAAGGGGCACACACACCCCAGTTCTGGACCAGAATGAAACACCGTCCACCTGCTTTCCAAGACGAGCTCCTCTGCCCAACAGGCAATGCCCAGGGCAGTAAAATCCAGACCAGGTGAAGCAGAAGAGGAGACTAAAGGGGAGAAGTGGAGAAGCCGCTGGTCCTGGGCTAAGGTAAGCAAGAGGGACTGTAAGGGATGCTGGTACCTGGTCCTTAAGACACGGAGAAGGGAGGGGGTGAAGAGAGGTTTGGGTGGACGAGGTGAGGGAGCTCAATTTACACTAGGGGGCCCTTGACTCCATGACTTTTAAATCATCCTGTGGCTTTGCACCTCCTTCACTGTTTTGGTTTCCCAAGAGTCACGAGCAGCAGACTCTCCGGGACAGCAACAGGGCTGCATGCTCGCTTCCAGCCGGGCGCTGCCTGCCCTTCAGGGAGGGAGGTGCCCTGTGGGAGAGGCCTGGGCCTGGAGCAGCTGGGGTGGGGAGGGGGGAAGCAGGGAACAGGAGATTGTGGTCTGCAGAACAGAAGACCAGCAGCTGGCCTGGGAGCTACCCCAGAGCCCAGAAGGGTCTCTGGGGGTCTGTGAACCCAGGAGGATCCACTGGACTGAGAGTTCCCACAAGGATGGAGAAGGGGGCTCTTCTGTCCCTCTTACCCCTCCCAGGCCCAGCATGGCCCAGCTGCCATTTACCGGGTGTCATTCACCCAGGAAGGCTGGCCTGGGGCTTCTAGCTCCAGCTCCAGCCCTGGTGGGGACACGCTGGCTCGCCCAGAGGCGTGGTCTGACTCTGATAGCTCCCCTGGAAGCTGAAGGATGGGGTGCCCATTCTGTCACCGAGGCCCAGCACAATCCTGGAGCATATTAGTATCCATTTAATGAATGCAGGAGGAACCGAGGGAGGCTGGAGAGTGTGGCCCAGGCCCTGATGTGCCGAGGAGGGGAGCAGTGAGAGGGGCAGGCTCCTTCCAGGCCTGCGGGGGTGTCCAGCAGGCTGGAGGTCTCAGACGTGGCCTGGTGGCCTCCATGTCCCACTCCCGCAGCAGCCCTTACCTTCACCTCCTGAATCATCTTTGCCACCTCCACCTTAGTTTTTCCTTTGATTGACCTGCCGTTGACACCGGTGATCTCATCGCCAGCTGCCACGGTGCCATCCAGGGCCGCGGGGGTGTTGTCAAACACCTGTGGATGCATGAGGCGGGCCGGGGGGCAGCAGGGGAGAGAAAAGGGAGAACTGAGAAGAAACCTGGGGGAGACAGCTGTTCCCTCCACCCCGACCAACACCCACTCTGCCCTGATCTCCACCCTCCGGTCTCTTACATGGCACTAGAGAAGGGCAAGGGTAGACACGCCGGAACAGACAGCGGTGATGACCCCACATTCTTGGGTGGAGGGGAAGAGCAATAGAAGGTAAATTCCAACTAACGAGACTTTCCTTTTCTAACATCAATACACCAACCCTCACACGCCCATCTGAGTGTTTGCTTCTCCGAAGTCATTTCTTTAATAGATTTTTCCAACAGTGCTGCTCTGAGCTGACTCGGAGCCTCAAAGCGCCTCTTGTCAATTCCTGCACCTCACCTCAGGCCCCAGAGAGCAAGGGCCCACTGTGCCTGTCAGCCCCTTCTCCCAAGTGACCCCTTCAGTGGGGTCTGGACGTGGCTGTGTGAGGTTGGGGGTGTGTGTCAAAGGTCGCACGTGTGAGTCATAGCTGGGGGAGGGAAAGTGGGCTACCAAAGGGTATGCACAGATGGACACAAGAATATGAACATTATATCCAGAAAAACCACTAGGAGAGACACCAAAATTACCAGCAGTGGTAATCTGATACTGTCTTCCCTCTACCTTAGCTTTAGTTTCTAAATTTTCTACACAAAGCATGTAGCAAGAACATTTTATAATGTTTCATATATATAATATTACAAGGAAAAAATGAAATAAATAAGATCAATGTTTCTTTCTGCTACCTTCCAGAATTACAATAAAAACACAATAATGGGGGGCCAGCCCTGTGGCCTAGTGGTTAAGTTCTGCGTGCTCCACTTCAGTGGCCCGGGTTCAGTTCCCAGGCATGAACCTACACCATTCATCAGCCATGCTGTGGTGCACATACAAAATAGAGGAAGAGCGGCACAGATGTTAGCTCAGGGAGAATCTTCCTCAGCAAAATAAATAAATAAATAAAGCTTTAAAAAAGGATTAAAAAAAAAGAAAACCACAATAATGAATAAAAAAAAAGGAATGGTAAAGGAGACCACAACAATGAGATTTTAACTGTTTTTGGAAGATGGGACAGTGGGAATCCCACGGTCTGCAGAGGGCTTTTAATAAGAGAGATCTAATCTTTGCTGGAAATTGCCAGAAAGTCAGGACATGGGCCTCTGGAAACAACTGTAGGTGGGTAGAAGGCAAGGTGTAGAAAGCAGGGGGATGGACTCAACTCCAGGCTCCCTCCCACCCACACGGCCCCCCACTACCCCTTTTCCAGGGAGCTTTATTCCCTGGAGAAGATCCTGACTCTGGGGCCCAGGACCAAAGGAGGCATAAGTGAGGCCCTGGACTGAAGGGGTTAGGGGTTAGGAGAGGTTTACATACAGAAGAGTGAGTCCCAAAGCCCCTTAACCCCAATGGGTCCCCAGAATGCCAGCAGCCAAGGTTTACCGCCCTTCCCCTCAGGAGACTGGGGGACCCTGCTCTGAATGGCTCCACAGGCAAGGCCTCCACGTGTGGACACTGGGAGACCTCCCCACAGCTCATTTGATGCCTGACTGCCCCACAGGAAACCCTCCAGGTGACGCAGCCGGCACACAGAACTTCACAACACTGTAGTGACTGTGAGGGCCCCTCTTAAATACAGACAAGAGAGGACTACTGAGCACTTGGAAAAAGGGTCTCACAAGAAAAACACCAAAACACAGAAAAAAGGAACCAAGGGCAAGAGAAACAAAGCAGGGACAACAAAAAACAAACAGAAAACCATAATTAACATCTTCACAGTGATTAGAAAAACAAGAATAGGATGATGTAAAAGGATCGACTGAAAAATAGGAAAGATCTCTTAGAAATGCCGAAGATAACTGAAATTAAAAATGCCAAAGAAGCTACAGAAACCAAGCAGAGGAAAGTGAAAAAGAGATGGACAATCAGAAAACAAGAAAAAGAAAAAGAATATTAGAAGATCAATTCAGGAAGCCCTACATTTAACCAACAGGAGTTCCACCAAAGGAACAGAGAACAAGGAGACCAGGACATCATCAGAGATAATTCGTGAGACTTTCACAGAAGAGAAAGACACGGGATCCCCTGTGAACCTGCCCTGAGGTTCCAGCACAAGAAACAGAAAAAGGCCCGTGCCAAGAGCCATCATCGTGATGCTGCAGAATGCCAGGGACCAAAAGAAGTTCCTAAGAGTCTTGATAGATGAAGAATAAAACATGTTACAAATTAACGATCACAAACAAAAACGGCATCATCAGATGTAACAACAATGCTGATGGCAAAAGATAATGAAAGGATGTTATTGAATTTCTCAGTGACAATTATTTTCAAATCCGACATTCATTCTTGAATATGATCCACCCAAGTGTCAACTGAAAGGAATATGAGAATGACAACACAAGATCTCAAAACATTTACCTCCCATGCAGCCTTTCTCAGAAAGCTACGGGAGGATGTGCTCCACTAAGATGGGGAAGGAAGCCAAGGAAGAGGGATCCGGAGATGGGGGAATCCAACAGAGGAGAGGGAAGGGGAGGCTCAAGGAGCAAAGACCACAGGGGGAAACAGAAAGACGATGGGAAATGTTTGACTGAGGAAAATGTACTGAAAATACAAGAACACAAATGGAAAAAAAAAAAACAAGAAACTACTTAAAAAAAAAAAAGAAGCAAAGATTGAGTTAAGAAACGTAGGTTCGGGCCGGCCCCGTGGCTTAGCGGTTAAGTGTGCGCGCTCCACTGCTGGCGGCCCGGGGTTCAGATCCCGGGTGTGCACCAACGCACCGCTTCTCCGGACATGCTGAGGCCGCGTCCCACATACAGCAACTAGAAGGATGTGCAGCTATGACATACAACTATCTGCTGGGGCTTTGGGGAAAAAATAAATAAATGAAATTATAAAAAAAAATAAATAAAACTATTAATTGTATGTTATGGGAATTTCGCCACCATAAAAATATTTTTTAAAAATGCCCAACCAGAGGGGCCAGCCCTGTGGTGTAGTGGTTAAGTTTGGCACGTTCCGCAGCCCAGGTTCATGGGTTCACATCCCGGGCAAGGACCTACACCGTTTGCCAGCCATGCTATGGTGGTGACCCATATATAAAGTAGAGGAAGACTGGCACAGATGTTAGCTCAGGGCTAATCTTCCTCAGGAAAAAAAAAAAAAAAAAAGCACCATAGAGGATCACTAAGCTCGGTGTGTAAAACAGCATGTTACCATTCTCCTAGACCACAAGCTCTGCAGTGCCAGGGTCTCTGTTTTCTTTACTTCCTATCTCTAGTGCCTGCAAAAGACCCCAGCCAGGCCCTCAGAAGATATGTCCCGAACAAAATATCTGTTGTACAAATAGTGATTTAGCCAAAAATTGCAAAATAACTATGTTGGGAAGATGGAAGCAGAATGGTTTCAGAAGAGAGCTAAATTCTCATCTGCTGGACTGGGAAAAGTCAACAGACATTTACAAGTGACAGATCAAGAAATAACAGGATGAGCATCTTCCTGAGAAAGATGGAAGCTCATACCTGAAGCAACAGCTAGAAGAGTGGAAAGTGATGTTGTTGCTGGGATGGGGGTAGGGGAAGGGCAGTGAGAAGGGGTAGAGCAGTGGATTGCTGACATCTGACAGAGGCTTTTTGGTACTCTTGACTTGTTCAAGCAAGTCAGATAGTCTTTGATAAAAATTAAACTGAATTTTTAAAAAGTGATTCTATTATTTTATAATCGCAATTCATGCTAAGCAAACCCGGCCCCCAACAGGTGAGGAGGGGGAGGGGGCGGCAGGAAAGGCTGAGCAGACACATGGCAGGGAAGCCAGGCCTGGGAGAGGCCTCCCGAACACCCCCTGGGTCAGAGGAGGCCAAATCGCTTGGGAAGGCAGCCCCCTGAGCAGGCGAGACCAGGTCCTGGGAACCTCTGTCTTCACGGCCTGGAAGCGACTCTCTTGCAAGATCCTCAAAGAGACTGCAGTTTCCTGTTACCAAGGGCTACTTAGCTGAGAAGGTTCGAACATGGTAGAATCCAGGTCAAGTTTATGTCTGAGCTGGCAAGCTTCCTTCCAAGGCTACAGAAAGATCCCTGACTCCGACCAGCCACACAGGGAAGAAAACTGTCCCTGGCTCCTGAGTCACAGCTGACAGACCATCACCAGGGCAGCAGCTTCTATAAGGACCACAAAGTTGGTCACCTGGGAAACTGAACAACTGCCATAAAAAGTAGTGAGCGACAACTGCCACTACCATGCAGTGAGTGCTTACTAGGCGCCAGGCATTGCATCACGTCATTCTGTTTAATCATCATAACCACCCAAAGACGCTCATATCTACATATTTTACATCCCACTTTCCAGGTGAAGAAACTGAGGCCCAGAGAGGTAAAGTAACTTGCTAATAAGCAGGGAAACTTGTATTTGAACTTCGTCCATTATTATTTCAAAGTCTGTTAGTCTTTCTACCACACTTCCCTTGCGCTAGTACCCAAGGCTGGTGGTTTTGTTCGTTCATTCAAGACGTTTTTATTGAAGGTCCACTATATGCCATGCATTGTACTAGGTGCTGACTGCAATGGAAAAGCAAACTGGGATCCTGCCCTCACACTGCAAAGAGTCTGGAAAAGCAGCTAGATACAGAACAACTAATGAGCAAATCCCTGATTACAGATGGTGATAAACGCTGAGAAGGAAAAGAACAGACTGAAATGAAAGACAAAAGCAAGGGGAGACCCACTGAGAGGGGGTGGTCAAGACGGCCGCTCCGAGGAGGTCAGACCTCAAGAGTGAGAAGGAGCCAGCTCTGCAGATTGGAGAAATGAACCTGCCTCTGTCATGCCCAAGGAGGGAGGTGGCTCGCCACTCCCAGGACCTTCTCCCGCCTCCAAAGCACCCAATACCTGGACGATGTAGAGGCAGGGACAGTACTGGGCCCCTCCTCCAATGCTGATCCCGATCAGGTTCTGAGCATCCTTCTGCAGGGTCACCTTCCCAGGCACAGTAGGGATTCCGCTGAAAAGAGCAGCACATGAAGCTGAATGTCCTCGAGGAAGGACACTGGAGGAAATGGGGAAGGGGACAGGCCCTCCAAAACGCCCGAGAGACTCTAAATGCTGCACAGCCTTTTCTCTTCCTCACTTGGCCAAAAAGACAGCATTTTGTGCTGGGACGTGCACAGCTCTTAGAGTCATGCAGATGTGGGATCAAATCCCAGCTACGCCATTCATCAGCCAAGTCACCCTCTCTGCATCTCAGTTTCCTCGTTCATAAAACGGTGTGGATAAAAACGGCTGCTTTATCAAAGTTCTTGTAAGAAAGTGCATGGAAGGCACTTAACACCAACCCAGCCCAGAGCAGGCACGCCATAAAAATAGGTCTCCCTTCCTTTTTTTTTTTTTTTT